CATTATTTCTATCTTTTGCAATTTCGAAAATTCATAGTTCATAAAATAAGACCTGCGCAATTTTTGAGTCATTTGCTCTATCCATGAAAAAAATTGAAGAAAAAATTTGGAGCTGTTTTTGAGAACTTTTTTATAAAATTAACTTCACGCAGAAAGAGCATTTAAGTATATATTTTTCAAACATTTTATTTACGAATAAATCTGCGTCATTACCTCTGTACTTTTGCAAAGTTATTTTTTGCAACTTTCGAAAATACAGAGAATTTGCCGAAAATGGAACCAACACTTCTTTCCTCCGTCCTTGGCGACATACGAGAACAAAATTTAAAGAAAATTGTTGGAAACGTTTTTGAGAGAAAGAAAAACATAGTTTAAAATCTGTCTATATTTCAATTAAACAGAACAAGGTATTCACATTTTCAAAAAATTGTAGATGACCTTATTACACGAACAACAGATTTTATTCAGGAAAAAAATTACTTTCTTCAATATTGTAGTTAAAGGAAAATGGCAAAAAAATTGCAATTTTGAAATTGAAAATTCAGAGATGACAAAAATGAGACATGAGCCGCTTTTTAAATTTCTCTGCGCTATCCGAGGACAAAGTTTAATATGTACAAAAAGTTGGAGACTTCTAGAGAAAATTTCTAACATGTTGAGCTTTCATGTAAAGTACCCCCTCCCTCAAAATCAAAATATCCGTTTCAAATTCTCAGGGTCTCGATTTCTGCAGATAGGACACAATAGGAATAGAGCAATTGAGGACCGACAGAGAAAAGAGAGAAAATACCAAATCAAGGTTTCAAACATACTCTTCGGGAAGGAACTTCACTTAAGGCGAAGAGAGAGATAAATGTCGGTGTTTAACTTCAGAAATTAAATTTTCTGGAACTGATAAAACTGCCAAATACTTAAATTTTGCAGAAGTTCAGAATTCTATTTTTAACGAACCCTTTTAAAAATTGTCATTCTATAAAAAAGCATTTCACGCATTAAAATATTAACTCATAGATCCTTTCCAGCAAGCGGGGCAATGCATTTACTCACTGCAGGAAAGTGAAAACACTCCTTCAAAAATAAACCCATCACCACAGCACCGTCCCGCACGCACGTGACTTTTTTCACCCGTGAGCTAATCCTTGCCTATAGTCACGTACTCAGAAATGAGACCCGCAGCATCCGAATCAGCATCGTAAAAACAAGAAAAGTGACGCAAGCGATTCCTGACGAATATGTTTTAAAGTTGGCCTCGCTGGAGTGACTACTGCGAAAACTGGCAGTGCCACTGCTCCACACTTCATTTAGAGTACGGATCGTCTCACGTGAGCGGCGCTCATTGATAGTACGTGAGCGGCGAAAAGTGAAACTGAGCGATATCTATTTATAGTACAGCCGGACCTCGATATCTCGAAGAGTCTCCCAAGTGAAATATTTCTTCCACTTATTATTTTGATATCTCGGATTTTTAATAACTTCTTTAAAAAATACGAAGTGTTTTAAATAGGCACGGATAAATATCGTTAAACCATAAAATTGATGTTCTTTATTTAAAGAATAAGCATTTATTCTCGGATACTTAAACATTTTATTCTTTTTCTTTCACGTTCAAAAAGTGATTCCTCCACATTGTGACGAATTTTGTTACTGTCTTTTGAAAAACATTGAAAGCATATTTCTCATCCCTTTCTCCACTTCACAAATTATTTTAAGTTTTTCATTTAAAGTTAATGATTTGAGCACACGTTTGTCCATCTCCGTGATATTTGCACTATTTTTTTAACAAAAGATTCTGCTTCCCAAAGAGCTAGCACTGCGCGAAGTGGCTAAGCAGATCTTGGGAACAATACAAAATTCGCTTATCCAGGCATTTAGAGCAGGCGGCCTGGATTTCGAGACGTGACGAAACTCCGCCAGTCTCTTCGATTAAAATTATGATTTTCACTCAGGGGAAGAAGATATTCTTTCGAGTTATCGAGATATTCGTGGTATCAAATTTCGAGTTATAGAGACATTTGTGGAATCAAATTTCGAATAGACGAAACTGTCTTATACGTGAAAATACGTAACCCGCGCGATCGACGGTCGAATTATCGAGATATGATTGCAATTAAAGCTGTCAGAAAGAATAAGCTCTTCTGTCTCCTAGTACTGGAGCAATAACAACAGCTGAAAAGAAACGCCAATATGCACTGTACCCTGGTCACCTAAAACCGATCCCAACGACAAAACCTAGGAAATGCCTAACGGGGAAACAGGCTATTAACTGACATTCAAAAGATGTAGATAAAAAGTTTACCAAAGTTGAACGTTGAGTCTGAATAGCTACATCGCACGTATTTTCACTACGTGTACTGAGTGTACAGTATTTCCGCCTCTCCCAAATAGCGAACCGGAAAAGAGAAAAAAATATAACGAATATTGCTGAGATTATTCCCGATTATTTCAATTTAGTAATCTTCTTTGACTTTTAACAAAATCTGTTATCATAACGTAAGTTAATTTTAACTTTAAACTAAAGGTTCCTTGAAGGAGATATATGAAAAAAATAACTATTAACTACAAAACAATCGATTAGCAAAGACCAGAATTCCCTGGAAACAAGGACTATTACCAAAGTGAAAATCATATGTAGTGATTCAGGGTCTAAATATCGTCGACGTTGACGGGACAGGTGGGCAGCAGGACTTGAGTTTCATGTGTATATTGTGTAAATAAACTTTCGCCTTAATTTAGTTAAATAACAAAGAGCATTTCAACCAAGAAGAAGCAATCTTCAGTACTTAACTCTAAAGTATGAGTAGATGGTCAAATGATGTCACGTGAAATTTCTTAAAAATAAGTAATTTTCGCGTAACTTATTTAATACTACTGTTAATGGGTTGTTTTGTTGTTTTTTTTATTTTATTTTAAACGCTGTTTCTGAGAGTAAATTCAAACGTTTTACTAGCAGAAAAAGTACTGGTAGAAAGATATAAGAACAAAATGTTTAGGTGATTTAATTCCACATTTATTTTAGATTAAATTATAAAAAATAAGGAAGGGTATAAATTACATTTTTATCCGAAATTAAATCATTTAAAATTTACTGAATTTTTAAAATACCATTACTCCCTTTAAATAGTTTCTGAAGCCGTCTTTGAATGTCGAAAACGCACAGAGTTGCCGAGACATAATAAGCATTTTTAAATGTAGTTTTGAATAAGCATAGGAAACATTTTTAGTTATTGATTTTCACGTTTTGTCGTACTACAATTTAATATTTTGCTTTGCTTTATACCGTCAGAAATTACTAATAGTGCATATGCGTATGGGTAGATATGGGTGCATATGCGGTACGTATGGGTAGATAAACACTTTTTTTTTTAATACTATTGATAAATAAATGTCTTCTCAATGGGTCCAATAAAATACTGAAACGTTGGAAGCAAAAAGGTGTCGTAGTTCCAATTCAGCTAACCTAACCACCTGAGAAAATATGCAACGCTCGGCGCCCGCCACGGCCGCGAGAGCAAATGCGCCTCCCGGAACCGGCCGAGGGTCCGCGGCAGGGGCAAAAGCGCTTCAGTCTCTCGTGCCCGCTCGTGCCGCGTCACGAGTTCCGGGCGCGCGGGCGGCGCGGGCGACGCGGCGGCCCAGCGCGGGGGCGCCGGGCCAGGGGGGCGTGGGTGCCGGCCCCTGCCGCGTGACGCCAACGCACGCCCTCCTTCCACGCGCCGCCACCGCGCGCCTGGCGTTCTTGGCCGCGTCACGCCACGTAAAGCCCGCGCGCGCCTTCCCATTGGCCCAAGCGAGTATCGTACGATGACGAAACGCCAGTCGCGCGCGACCGAAAGAACCGGCGATTTGAGCGACGGCGTGGCCTGCGAGGTGAAACGCTGGAGCTGGAGGGAGAGCGTCAGGTGCAAATCCTGTGGCAATGAGTCGGCCTTATTTCTTCTCATGAACGACTAATACGTAATTTTGAAGAAAAAAAAAAACAAAGTTAAAAAAAGCAAATTATGTTAGTGCCTAATAGTAATTCTTTGTTTATTATATTATCAATGAAAATGACAATCTGCTCCATTAAAATTTTACTCGAAATAACTCACAATGCATGTATTACTTATTTCAAGTATGTTAATCGAAAATAATTTTCCCTCAAGAATGTTATTTCACAATGCAACTTTACCAAATGCATGAGACACGAATTCAAACAAGGTAACATTAATTTTGTGTTAAGTTATGTTTATGGCAATATGAACTACAAGTAAACATTACATAATAGTCTAATGAAAATAAGCTATTCTATAAACGTGTAAAGAACATTTCATAGTCACTGAAATTTCAGTAGAAAAATTATTGCGATAATCATCTGAACTATTTTGACAATGGCAAACTCATCGTACTAATTTACACCACACTCTCCTGTGGTAATATAAGTAGAATGAACTAAATAATGCTTCCAAAATAAATAAATCATCAAGACAAAACTTGAAATAAAAATCATTAGCAAATACAAGTCTTACACTTGTGATAATACAGATACTCGCATAAATATATTGAAAACATTTTGGATAAAAATGCATTCTTAACAATCAACTACATTTCTAGTTTTGATCAAATTTTCAAGTTTCAAAAAATTAAATAATTTGCTATATATGATAACATTAATTCTAAAACTCTCACATAAATTATTTCTATACAAAACAAAATATAAAACGAATTACAATTCTAGATTTCTGGTTCGCTACGTAGTGATTATAGACAGAAAAGCATTGGTAACTAAAGTAATAATTTTAATAAATTACAATATTCAAAGCAGTGTTTGTTAGTTGTAGTACAAGGCTTTCTTTTAAATCTTGATAATTAACCAGAAGTTTCATAAAAACTGGCCTTCCCACAGGTACAAAATTATAACCATCAATTGAAACATTGGAAATAAAAAGGCCCTATAATTTTTGAATTTTAATAAATCTCTCAATAAAAGCCCAAATAGTTGTAATGAAACCACATCAACTTACCAGCAATAGTAAATCTGTCCATATAGTTTATTAAGTTGACAAAACAGAGAACAGCAACAGTAACTATCTGTCGTCGTGTAAGGCAGGTAAACCTTCCATTTTTTGCTGCAGAGCTTGGATCCGAAGGGTAGCTTGAGTCCGTACTAGCAACACTATCAACATCTTCTCCAGTCATTAACTGATGGTGAGAATTGTTCGTCGGGATATTCCTGGGCTCCATGTTCAATATTCTAAGACAATGTTTGTCCACTAATTTCTGAGCTGGCATGCAGGAACTTTTACACAAATGCAATCCAATGCACAAGAATTTGACTTCAGAACCTGATGTCCGTCCTTATTGAAAATGTCAAAGTTTACCATTCATTCTTGCCCACTTCACACACTACCATATGCAACCATACCTCACTCTCACATTTACTTTAATACACCATTGCCTTGCCTTCACTCGCCTTGACTGAACGAAATTAGTTCATTTCCAAGTTGACATTAATAGATTCGTTCTTATCCGCTCTGGGAATCGATTCAACGAGAACTGAATTAACACAGCAAGTTCTATTGCTGCTACCTGGTATCTAAATATGAAAGCTGACAAACTACTTGTGCAACCGCCACTAGAGTACGTCGGGTCGCATCAGGCACCAACTGCTGCCAACTGCACACATGTGGCCGAGGCGGGCGGCAGCAACGGTAGTCAATAGCTGGTCTATAGTCAGCCAGTATTAGTGAGCGGGGATTTGTGTGTAGCAGTATTTAATACTTGAGAATCGGTCATAGAGAGTAATGACCATTGAGTAATACTCTATAATAAATAGTATACTGCAGAGTGCGTAGGCTCGACAAACTAATGTAAAGTTCACACTGTCAAGGAGCGGCAAATCTCGTGAGGTAGTGATCATAGCAGTATTGCCTGGTGTTAGTTAAGTGAGGTGCACGCACGAGGAACTGCTCCAGCAGCACTGCCCGCCCACGTGGATTAAGTAATGCTCAGTAAAGAGAATTGTTTTAACTCCGTTCATTCCAAATAAATTTTTCTGTGTCTGCACATTTTTAATTGAAGGTAAATCTTCTTGTTTTACTGGTAAATAAACCAACACGGTTATTAGCCAGGAAGACAATTTGAATACTGGAAATTTATAAAAATATTATTTTGACATGTCAGTGACTGATGTTTTTTGTGTTGATAGATGTCAGATGATGACATGCCACAGTTGTCATCAACTACTCTTGCAGCTTTGCAAGAGTTTTATGCAGAACAAGCAGCAGAAGAAGAGAAAGTGAAAGCTGCACTTCTTGATCCTAAAACAAAGGATCAAAATGTATTCCAAGCTGACTGGGTAAATTACTTTCTTTGTGATTTACTGGTGACCTACTTAATTCATTCAACATACTGAAATTTTTCTTTATTATTAACATATTTACAGCAACTTAGTCAATTTTGGTACAGTGAAGAGACTGCAAGTGCATTAGCTAGTGAAGCTATTCGAGTGACTGAAAACAGAGGGAAAATTGCATTGATATCATGCCCAACTCTGTACCCCAAGTTGAAAAGTTTATCACCTGGAAGTCTAGGTAAACTATATTCTAATATGAGTTTGGTTTCGCCTTCGAAAAATGTTTTGCTTGCTAGTTCAATTAACACACATTTTTTGGAGAGTATTTTTTATAATTGAGGCATGCATTTCCAAAAGATAGTAAGTGCCATAATTGAAATTGGTCAGGAAAACAAAACACGGACACTGTAACCTTTGCTTCTATACTAAGAACAAATTTATTCACTAGCTTGACTACATCTCTAAACTTTTGCATTTCTTATCAGAGATTACCTCTTTTATTATTTCACTATGGCACACTATTCACAAACATGTTTATGCATCGCAGCATACAACAACCTACATACACAGTTACCAGTGAGAACTTATAGTGTCTTACTAGCCAACATTTTAGATGAAGTATTTTACTACATATAGGAGTAATGTTTTTTGTTAAATGACATCTTTTTTTATCAACTTTTCATCACATCAGAGTGATCCTCCTCCCCATTCTTTTCTTCTGCTTCTTCCTTTTTGCAAATTTCTACTGCCATAGCTTCTACCACCACTAACCTTTCCTCTAACATGTTATTACTAATGGTGCATTGCTGATTTTGTTTGTTTTACAACTTCCTTTGCAAATTATTTATGTTATACATTTTTGTTTGAGCAAAAATGCAAAACAAAATCTGACTCCAGAAAAAACAAAACATGATTACTACCTTTACTACATTTCAGTAGCTTCACTAGGTTATCATTAAATAGAACAATTTTTACAGTAAATACTGTAAAATCCTGTTACAACAAATGTGTTACAGGTACATCCTTTTATGGATAAATTATGTTTTATTGTGGAAAAGTTTGAACTTTGTCCCAAAATAACGAAGGATACAATGTCAACTTTTAATTATAAATTAGACAATCATACTGTTAATATTTTGCACTTGTGTGTTTGAGTAAATACATTTCCTGAGTAAAAGAGTCACAAAGTATGAAAATTTAACATTACAAGCATAAGTCTTAACACCTTCCTTTAACCACTTTGATAAACACAAAATGAACAAGAAATAAATTGTAAAATATTAATTAGATTAATATTGTAAAATCAGAATTAAAGTAATTACTTTGTTATATATACATTGTTTCTGAATAACAGTGCAATTTTTAATTTTTCAGTTACCCTCCTGGAATATGATAAACGTTTTGCAGTTTATGATGGATTTGTTTATTATGACTACAAAGATCCACTAAATCTTCCAAATGAATTTGAAAGGTCCTTTGATGTAGTAATTGCAGATCCTCCATTTTTATCAGAGGAATGTTTATCACGAGTCTCAGAGACACTGAAATTTATGGCAAAAGATAAAATTATTTTGTGCACTGGTAAGTACAGTAATACTTTTTTTATCACGTGATATATATACACACTAGTACAATATTTCTCATTGTTGTTGTTGCAGGTGCTGTAATGCAAGAATTGGCTAAACAACTTTTAAATCTAAAAGTTATGCATTTTCAACCAAAACACAATTGCAATTTAGCGAATGAATTTAGATGTTTTGCCAATTATGATATTGACAAATATATCACCAATAAAACGTAGTTGAAGCATTTTTATTAAGACAGCAGATGAGTGTATGAAAATTCAGCATTTTGTAAATCATTGTTTTCAAAGTGAAAATTGCGACATAGTAAAACCATCTTCTAACAGCCCCTGAACTGTGCATTACAGCATGATAAGACCTGACACTGTATAAGAGTAACGATTAATATTGCAGTGTTTAGATTAATTTCACCCAAAATCAAATGGTCCCTTTAATTTCATTGTGAATGATTTTCTTTTTTTTTTTTCTTCTTTTTTTTACTTTGATTTTGTATTGCACATATTTCAGACCACCACAGTTGTGAAAGCCCGCAGAAGCACTTTTACATTTCTCCACCAATCCTCAACCCCCCAAACTCCTTATCCTCTCTCAAATCACTTATCCTAAAACGTGGGTCTGTATGGTACGCCCAAACCTGGTTTTAAGGGTCTAGGGTGCATTGTTTCCGAGTTACGAGTGATAATAACATTGCTTCCCAACAAAACTGGTGGCACTCGAAATTCGGAACCTGGACGCCTACGCAGAGGGCGACGAGGTTCGCGAGTCTGACTTAGCAGCTAAGAACTCCAGCCAGATACAAATAGTATAACTATGCTTCGCCCGATATATAACATCGCAATGATATCTGACAAAGATGCGAAGAGAAAGGACACAAGGCCCTCGCATACTCCGCGGGAAAGCCGCAATGTGTTTTATGCGCGGATGAAGGACTCGCCTGAGAGAGAAAAGCACTTTCCTGGCTTGGAACATGCCAAGTCTACAGTATAAAGATAAATGATATAAGTTTTTTCAAACAAATATAGTCAAGAGACGGTCAGCTGACCCGATAATGATCAGCGTTCCAGGTAGAAATCAAGGTCCAGGATGGTACTCTGACAAACCGTGGCTGTATGGATTCTTGAATTTACTGTTATCCCGATAGAAAAGCATGGATTCAGAGGTAGATTAGTGTAGATAAAGTGAAATCAGTTTTGTGATATATGACCCCAATGAAGGGAAAGATGAATTCTGCAGGAAAATTGATTTTTAGCAGATATGATACGAGAGACAGGTGGAAACAACCTGGTTGTATGGGACGCGTTTATTGGAGAGGCGACCAGACAACACTTTATAGTCCTGAATTATAGATGTACACCTTCACACGGCCCGGATACGGGATACAATACCGTACATCACGCAGGCATCTGAAGAACTTACAGCTAGACTGGCGATCTGGCGGGTGCTTGATGTCTACACAAGCACCGATCATCAATGCATCACATTTTGCGTGCAGAGGAAGGGAACGCCTCAGCCAACAGAAAACAAAATGAGAAAACTTGGCTAGAACGTAAACAAGGTAAACCAGACCAATCTTGTAGAAAATCTGCAGCTACAATAATCCAATGCTCTCGGGGTGACGGGGCTGAAGGACTGATACGCGAGGCTTGTGATAAATCAATGTCCCGCAAGACAATCACTGAAAGGCAGACGAATAGTACAACTGAAGTCGTAGGCTTCCGCGGCCAGAGTCATGTGCGTGATCTGGGCTGCCCGGGTAACTCCGCGTCGAAGGCTGTATTGCCAACACCAACACAGCCTTCGACGCGGCGTCACCCGGACAGCCCAGATCACGCGCAGTACTACAACTAGTGCACTGAAGAGAAAGCTGAGCTTTTGACTCCGACGAGAGGCCGAGAGCAAGTCAGATATGAAGCTCAGTTGCTACACAAAAAGGTAAAAAAATAAAAAGAAAGGCGATCGACCAAAACAACTCAATGTCGGTGTGCCCTTGTTGGCGGAGCGGATAGAAATCCTTGGAGACAAGGCTTCAGGTTGTGACGAGAAAAAAAGCAAGTGGACACCGGAGGATAACCTCTATTAGCGATGTTGTGAACGGATTGTTTTCCAGACGCCCGATAAGACCACCGAGCAAACAAGCCGTATTGTCGACATACCGCTCATCAAAGAACGAGAACTTGGAGAAGCAGCTGCCAGCTTGCAAAACGGGAAGGTCCCAGGACATGTTGGCGTCCAAACAAGTCCAGTAAGCAGCGGCGCGAGAATGCTCGAATCTTCTGTTAGTTATGAACAACCCCTGCGTGAAACAGAATCTTCCTTAAGCGATGGAAGTAATCGACACTGGTTCTCGGGAAACTTTGAGAAGTTACTGAAACCACTTTTACTGACAATGGTTCACGTTGTAGGATACCTACAAATATCATCGGCATATGCAGTCAAGTTTGAAGTTGAATCCATTGACGGCACGCGGCAGAACCACCATTCCCACAAACTAGTATTAGCCACTCGTCGATGTGCGGAACTCTTTCAACACAAGGTGAACAGAAATCCTGCTGACCTTATAACTCGCGCACTTTTTCTTAAACGGTAACCTTGCTCCCCCTCTGGCACAATAAACAGATGAAGGCGAAAGCTCGCAGCGAGCACTGATGACAACATTCCATATCTTCACTGGCGCGAAATAGAAACTATTTTCTGCTGAAGAACGTCTCTCCGTGATTTTCTCCAAAATATCTAAAGAAATGACCGCATCAGTTGAAGATCCATCACAGAAGTTACCTCGAACTCCTGAGAAAGTTAGAACGCAAATTATTGAGAACGTTGCTAAGGCATGACTGATTCTCCATAGATTGGCATTGCTTCATAAAATCTAGTGGCCGATTTCATAACTAATACCCCCACTCTACCCGCAGTTCTTCAATCCATCATTCAAGAAAAGTTGCGCCAGTAATACTTACGAATCCTCGATTACTTCCGGGAAAGGAAACTTAAACACTGTAGATGGTCCTCGTAACGGAGATATTACGGCGGAGTAGCGCAAGGTTAAATTCTGGGATAAGACTTATGGAATGACACAATTGATCGCATTCTTCAGATCAGACGCGACAGGTACACTCTGTTTGTGGTGCTTGTTGAAGTGACATCGATGTTCAAAATACGGAATTTGAGCACCCTCAAACATTAAAGTAATTGACCGCACAATCGATATTTTACACAGTTCGCGTTTGGCACCACTTACGTTCATCTGCACATGCACAGAATATCGAGATTACAGTCGCTCGCTGACCGCTATGGCGTGCACAAACTCCCTAACATACAACACTGCTTATTATATCGATGTTAATAAAAACTATCAATATTTTTAAACATCGACGCCATATTTCAAAACTGGTTTACTAATTATAAAAATTAAATTCGTGAGCAATAAAATTTAATTTTACAGTGACCAGATGAAACTGAAACGAAACTTAAAATAATAAGAACAGATAAAAATACTCGGTCTGAAATCCTGAGCGCCCAGAGTAATCTCAAGAGGTCACAGCTTCCTGAGTTCGCTGAAGAAAGGTACAGGAAGAAGGGGAGTGACCTTAGGCCCACGGCATGTGCCGCCTCTGCATGTGCGTAAGACATGGAACGACGTACGAAATACAGAGCATCGTCATCAGATGATCATCCAGTGCGAGATAGTACGCTCGATGAGGATAGAGCCATTAGCTCACTCTAACGAACTGAACGTGAACTACTGTGCCTCTTCGAATCTGGCACCATCTCGTTCATAAGAGACGCATATAAACCAACAGCGTTCTTCATACAACGTGAAATGGGCATAGACTGCCAATTTTTTATAGAGCGTTTTTTATAAGAATGAGTCGAAGTGACAGTTCGCTGAACAAGAGAACATCACGTGTAATTTAGAGAAATATCCCTCCGCCGAGGATAGTGTTTACGGCTCCCGTGAAGAATCACTACACAGAAATCTAAGTTCCCCTGAGGTATATGTACGTACGCGAGTCCGAGAAATATTAAAATATCATTACGTATGTAGAAAACTGACTCGACATGCTCTCATATTCAGTAAAAGAAAACTGCCACGAATGTAAATACAAAGAAAAATGATTTTTCAGGTTACGTTTCAACACCTTTTCTGGACACTTCACAGCGAATGACTCGTGCATTTTTATAGTGAAGAGGATGGTTTTCTTTTAATTACAACATCCCCGACTATCAATTTTTAGTAATATGCTCTCATAACTCAAATGTCTTAATAATTGTTTTGTCACTAATATTCTGCCTGTCAACACATTCCTTAATCGTGAAAAAGGAGGATGTCCTTTGCGTCCTCTCTGGCTTTTCATGGTTCACAACCGTGTCACAATTATATAAAAAGCAAAGCACGGAACCACGCAACGCTCTCGAATACAACTCTCCACCATACAACAAAGGAGTCGAAAACGCATGCGCCGCCACCTGTATGCATCTTAAATTTAAGACCAATTTAAAATAAACATAATACTTATCACACAAATTAATTTCAGTGTAATGTTTATAAAAAATATTTTTTACGTTTTAGCGTCTCATTTTCTCCCAACCAGGCAGCTTGGTTATTAAGACCCTGGCTATAGATCTATATCTACTCAGTTATAGCTAAGACCGACATCTGGAGGAGAAACAGAGTCAAATCCCATGCGCATTTAGGGGACCACCCGCATGCTGTTCATGCTCAGAAGAAAGTCCCCTCACTCGCGTCGGAGGTAGGCTTCCAAGGAAGCCTGGGTTCGGAACAACTGTCATGGGCAGTCTCCCCGCAAATAAAACCCATACTACGATAAATAAATCTATACTACGCATATTAGCCCATATATACGTACGTATACGAGAAAATTAAAATGACTGGATTTCGAAAATGCGGCGATCGCACACCAGCACATTGCAACAAGCACTATTGTTTGGACACGTTGACAGTTGTTCATTTCATGACCTTGTTCGTTATTGCTGCTGCTACTGATGATGACAAATTAAAATTATTTTATTTTGAAAATTTCCTTGTCCTGATATACTATATTGCAATAATGAAATATCCTCCACATACTCTCGTATTCACAATGACTCTCGCGGTAGACTGTCACTGCTGTCGGCGGGAAGAGCAGTGCAGAGACGAAAAGGGACTCCCTTCCAGAACGGCCAACTTTACACAGACAACTCATCAAATTTTGAAACATATCTATCATGAAAATAAATTCACCAATCATTAATAATGTTTGCAAAACCGTCAAGAATTGATTGAACTCGTATATCTTCAATAACACGCGAAATTCATAAAGTTAAGCTTAGGTCAACGACAGGAAATTGGTATTCCCCTCGGCCGCGTGTGCTGTTGTAGCATCATTACTTTTTATTCATTTACACATTTTCCTTGTGTCAACATTGACTAAGTTTCATGGAATACGTTATCTTCTTCAAATTTGTGATATACTCAAAGAACTTCGTCTAGTCTCCTCATTCAAATATTAAAATTTCAACATCGATATAAAGGCGTGAGAATTTGTAGAAACTTTAAATAGTCTTCAAAATACTTTATGACAAAAAGAGCTCAGATAATTCTCAATTTATCTTAATTATCCAAGGTCCAGCAAAGTAAGATAGTGTTTGGGTGATCTGGGCTGTCCGGGTGACGCCGCGTCGAAGGCTGTGTTGCCGACGTTTCGACCATCCTGTCGTGGTCTTCCTCAGGGCTCGGCCCAGTCATGAATAAACACACGAGCGCTGACCATCACGGCGCATTCCAGCCCTGAGGAAGACCACGACAGGATGTTCGTAACGTCGGCAACAGCCTTCGACGCGTCTGACGTCAGCCGGACAGCCCAGATCACCCACATGCCGCGGAAGTCTACGACTTCATAAGATAGTGTTGTTTGGTAATAATTTTTTCTTGATTCTTCCCTTCGAAAGTTTTTGTGGAGAATTTTCAATTTTTATTAACCATAATCCTGAAGATTAATATCTGAATAGCAGTTACTTAATTACTTTCCTATTTTATGTAACAGTGAAAAGTTGATTGATCCCCATACTGCTTCAACTCTGATGCACTCTTTGATTTGGATTTTAAATATGGAGAAATAAGACACTGAGAATTCAAGTACTACCTCATTCAGTGCAATGTAATGTAAGTTGAATTCATATGTTTCAATGTCACACTTTTTCCTCAATTTTCTTTTCTGTGAAATTCTAATGTCCTAATAATCTCAGTTTCATGATATGCAATAGATGATATTATTCCAATGCCTTCACCTGTAGTTGTAAATTTTATAAAGCAAACAACTGAAATTATTCATTTAATTCTATATGAGGAATATTTAAAAATTCAATAAGACAAAGATCTTAGTGTTCCATTTAATACACATGTATGCACTTTTTATTCTAAGTAAAAGAAAATGTATTAAAGAGAACTTTCGGATTCATTAATTTGTATACGAACAGTGGACTTAATAATCCAGTCTTGATTATCTGATTAAGTATTGTTAGTAATGGTAGAATTTAGCACTTTAAATTTTAAAAAATTGCATTTAAAAAATTAAGGTTTAGCATTTTGCAGTATTTCTTGTGAAAATTATTATTATGGTAGGTTTGGAAAAAAAAGTTGTGATACTTTTAATATTTCCTCATTATTATCGGGAAATAAGGGAAACTAATTTAATATTTCACCAATTGTGTACTTCAACAAATATTTAAAGAAGTAATTTTAAATCAATAGAATAATTCCTGTCTTGTACAGAACTACAGTCTTCTGTATATTGTAAAAGGTCATGTATTTTCTTAAATGAAATAAATTTGTATAAATAACTAATCAATATGTAACATATTCAGAAGAAAATTAACTTAGAGAATATTTCAAGATTGGCTTCTTTAATCCTACTCCTTCTGTCAGTAACAATTTAACTATGTATATCAACTGAAAAATCGTTCACCTTCTACACTTTTGGCCACTGCCAAATTAAATGCTTTCCAACATTGATATGTTGATGTCAATGTTGAATCTCTAACTTGCGATGCTCTAACTAGCAAACATGAAACCATAAAATGCAATTTAGCAATTAAAACATAGATTTATGACCATTTTGCACTTTGCAAGTATTTTAGCATTTTATCGCAAATTGAAATTCTTCAGAAATATAATGTACTGGCTGCCAAACATAAAATTACTATTTTTTCAGTGTTTGGTAACATTTTGCATCTTTAAGCAATTGGAAAAATCTACCATCTCTAAGTATTGACCACTATATTTCTTAAAATAGCAAATAATGATTTGTAAAGAAATAAACAGTCCAACCAATTTAACTAAAATCCCTAAGAAAGAAAGAAAGAAAGAAAGAAAGAAAGAAAGAAAGAAAGAAAGAAAGAAAGAAAGAAAAAGTAAAACTCAATAATACACCTGCTGCAATAATTATTTGGTTGAAACCACTTTTCATTTCAGGGAATAATACAGAACTTATGGATCAACTCCAAAATTATTACATTTTTGTAAATGCATAAGAGTTGGTTCCTTGATGAAAATTCTTTAACAAGACATCAAATAGTGCTCCCTTTTTTCTTTTGACACATGCTATTTAATTCTCAATTTAAAAAAATATCAATCACATGATGTACAGATACAATAATCAGCTAAGATGTGGCTTTAGGTCTATTTCAGTTCTTTGGTTTAGATGAACAGCAATTCAAAAATCCTAATTCTCAAAGGATACAAATATTTTGAGTCGCTGAGATAAACCTCAAGGAATTTCAATTGTAATGCTACCAAAACCAAAGATGACACTGGTTGGGAATAGCAGACAAAGACTTCTTATTTATTTCTACTGCTAAGAGAAGTTACAGATAATTTGTATAAATGAAAGAAGATACATCTATTAGAAGATGACATCTAAATTTATATGTATTATATTTATGTTATTTATATGTATATTTTAAAATAGAGCTTTTCTTCACCCCGACCCACCTTAAAAAAATCATGTTTTTAACTTAAAATTGATAAAATTGTACAAAGTTTTTGAAAGCTTCTTAATGATTTAAAAGCTTATTTTAAAACACTCAGTGAATAACATAAGTAACTGATACTTCAGACATTCTTTTTAAACTTGGTTCTAGAAGTTTGGATAAACTGTAATAATGCATTGGAAGGGACCGAAAAGTATCAAGGAACCTGGAGCCAATACATGTAATCTCTTATTAAAAATAACTATTTTTGCAAACTGATGAAATTGTTGTCTCTTATGTGGTTCTAGCTGACTTCCAATCTAGCACTCATTACTTTATACTACACACTTTTATTTCATTTATTACAAGAAGATCAATACATGTTCAAGCAATTTAAAATAAAAGTGTTTGTTACACATTTTGTAAATGAGAGCCAAGGGGTTCTAATATTTGTAAACATGACCATGTTAAAAAAGAAAAGTTTGGAAATTCATCCATAGTGTTATGCGTTGCTTCTTCAAGAGTAGTAGACCACTTTTCCCAAAGATTCTTCATTGTTCTCCCTTGTTCACAATTTACTGAATTACCCCAAGTTTTTTTCCACATCTCAGTTATACTGAAATAGGTTGTTTTTTTGAATTCATCTGTTTGAGTGAATGCAATACAGTGTTCCTTCCACTTCTTAAGTAAACGTTCTAACAGGTGCAACATATAAAATGAAGTATCATATTCATGAGATGCTATCACTGCTTCTTCAATTTGTTGCAAAGTGTCTTTCAATCTGTTCCTCTTCATTTTTTGGGACATGTCTTCAATCCTTTTCATGATGCTGTGAATGGCTGCTTCACATAAATATTGGCTATTACTCAGTTCGCTTACGATAACACACCTATACTCAAGGACAGAATACTGAAAAAAAAATATGTAATTCCTCATTTAACAAACAAATTAGAGTAAGTATAACCAAAGGATTTATCAAATATTATTCAAGGAAATTTTGCAGTTTTTATTTTTGGGATATTTGCAAAAACAAATGATTTAAAGTAAATAGAGAAGAGAAAAGAAAAGATGATTAGAACTAGTAAACTTCATTATGCAAATAAATTGGTCAAAAATAACATTAAGAAGAGAAAAGTTTTCTTTGTAAATTCTTTCTACCAGGGTAAGTCATTACTTTTGCAAGCTCAAGTTACATTCTAACTAATTTTGATACATAATTGAAATATAAAGCTCATATCAATAAGTGAATATGTGAAAATTACTTATACTGATTCATTAAGATAAAAATCACCTACAAGCACACTAGGGAGAAAATAATTTCAAAAGGAATTTTAATATAAACTGAAAAAATATTTCAATTGCAAAATTTCATATGAACAAAATTTCATTTACAATTGAAATTCATTTCATAAAATACATAAAAAAGAATCAAATTTAATAGTTGTTCAGGGGAAATTTAAAAATCAAGTACTTGAATTATACCAAAGAAAATATATTGGAAAAAAATTATTGAATTTCATTTTCTCAGTACTCATCTAGATAATGAGGAACAGTATTCTGCACTAAGCAAGTAATTTTACATAAAGCCTATAGATAAAGATTACAAAATGAAAGCATGTTTAAGGAACTGTGAATTGATGCAGGTAAATAGATGGCATTGGGTGTGTTATCTTTTACACTACAATACACACAAATATACACTGCCCTGCTTTACAGAGTATGAAGACTCACAACTCATAACTGAATGCAGTACAGTGCAGTGTTGCCACTGACAACTGTTGCAAAAGTGTAATCCCAACTTGCCACCCTGGAAAATTTCTCCAGAATAAGTTTTCAGATTTGCTTCAATTAGTTATATGGAATGTAGCTTAGTTTGCAGATAAGTTGTATAATAAATGGATAAATATAGGAATTTAGAAGAAAGCTTTGAAATGTATAAATTCAATAACACCGAACATCCTTACGTTTCATTTCAATGAATGCCAATGCTTTCTATGAGCTTTATGATTACTAACAATAAATACCGACACAAAATTTCACTTCCATTGCAGTTAATTTTAATGTTTTCTTTACTGATGAAACTGAAATTGCATCATCACTTTATTTGAAAGTCAATTAGCAGGTAGATATAATGACACTTACCACATTTACATCTTTTGCCATGAAAATACAGTCAATAACTCTAGTTATAAAATCACTACATGCTCTACAATAATTATGATCTTCTGGGCTATTAGCCAAGTTCACTAATTCCACAATAACATTCACTGCCACTTCAATTAAAGAGCCTTTCCAGTTACAAATACATTTTTCTAATGTTTGTATACTTCCAAAAAATAAACAAGAGTATAAATAATTTGTCACTGATAACACAGAGTCAAATATATGTTTGGCAATAGTCGAAGAACGAATTAAATATGAAATAGTTGTGGTGGATATCTGTTCATTGGCAGACTCTTCTGTAACTGAAGACCCAACTCCAGAATCACAAACATCTTGACTGATAAAAGTCTGACTTCCACTGCTACTTTCATACACGTTATCGGTACTAATGGGAAATATTTGTTTGCACTGCTGTGGAAATCCTGAAATAATTTCATTGAATTCATTAACTGGCAATGAGTTGCCAATTTTTGCAGCTGATTTCAGTTGAATTATGGCTTGGATGAATTGGATGTGATCTTCATGTACATTATCCTCAGTTTCATTACATGAAAAACTGCTATAGTCAATACATGATCTTTCCATTACCTGTGAATTAATTCAGTTTGGTCATTTTGAGTCGAGAAATGAAAGAAGAGAGTTAGGGCACTACACTAGCCCATTCTGAGGTTGTATTTTCTCAAATAAATAACATAATTTTTGTTATATGGCTTGTGTTTATGTTTTGGCATTAAAATAATTGACTGTCCCAGCTGGAAATTTAAACCTGGACCTACCAAGTACTCTAACCATTTGAACTACAGAGACAGTGAATTCATTGAACAGGTAAAAGGAGATAAGACCTTGATACACATATTATTTACAGTATGTTATCTATGTATAATTTATCCATCAGGGGTTTTATCTCCTTAAGGGTGTTCAAAGTACTATCTTGGTAGCTCACGTGGTTAGAGTAACTGGACACATACTGGGAGATCCAGGTTGAATTCCTTAATGGAACAGCTAATTTTCTGAAAAGTCAAAACATAATTTATAACAATTACACCATTCTTAATAGCTATGGGGTTGCAACAATAGTTAACAGTTGCAAAATGGGAAATGTATTTCCACATAATTGTTAAACTTTCAACTCTGTCCATGAGGTAAATTGTATATTATTTTTATTACAATTATTTTTGAAAAAAATTTTGTTTCGTTAAGACGTTACCTTTTAAACAAGGTAAAATAAATTATTTGCAAAAAATTGGTAACCTTAAGAATAGTTGGTTTTTTCAATTTTTTTCCGTGTTTGAAAAGTATCTCTTCAAACCTGAAGTGACCGAAATACACATTAATCTTAGTGAACTGTACATTCAAGTTCCTACTGTTAGAATTTATTTATGTACTGATTTCCAACATCACTTTCAATAACACACTAAAAAGAAATACGGTGAATTCTCTATTGTTAATTAACAGTTTTTGGAATTCTTTACTACATAAACAACTTCCTTCCTTCCTTCCTTCCAAATTTCGTTTCTGAATTTGTGTTTTGAAACCCTACACTAATTTCATAAAGGTTTTATATTAAAAAAATTGCTAATAGTGTGCAGTAGTCTCCAAAACAATTTTATTCCTTTGGAACTTTTAAAAGTATTATTGCTAGAAGGTTCTAAAAAAATTCTCTCTGAATCCACACAAACACTTTGTACATCAATTTCATAACATTATCACAATTATTGCTTAATATTTTCTTATTTTATTACAAAATTGACACATCTGAAAATGAAGAACTGTATCTCTGAAACGTTGTATTGACTTTATGTATGTAATGAACTGTCTATAAAATATGGAACAGTATATGTATTATAAGTATAGTCAAAAATTACCTTTTATTCACTCTTAAATCTAAAAGTATTTAATAAAAATATTAATGAAAAAGTATTTGGTGAGAATTAAAATAAAGCCAGTTATGTACCTATGGTGTAATTTACTGATTCCGATTTTTTGACACAAAGTTTGCTGACTTGAATTAGCATAAAAAAACATGTAGGTTAATTATTAAATTCATAACACCCTTTTTTTATTTCATAAATTGTAGATTTTAAACTGAAAATGATTACCTACCTCATTAGTACAAAAGCTAGAAACACTTGCTTCGGTAGAAACAGGATGAGATTTACTAATGAAGAAAATAAAAATACCTAGATCAAAATGCAAAAAACTTGGTTGAATTAGGTTTAAAAAGTTTGAGTTATGTACAAAGACACTTTTTTGAAGTGGATATATCATTCACTACATAACGCATCCATCCGCACAGAGTTCATCAATATCAATATTGCACTGAATCAACATATATACTCCCGTACAACTAGTTTTTACTTTACCGCCTTTACAAGTCACACGGAATAAAAATAAAGTTCTTGTGAATTGAGGCCCACCAAAGAGAACGGGGTCCTCCACAGCATAATGTTTACTCCATGACTAATGACGCATGGTGGTTTTGTGCATTCGGTGCTTACACGCCGGTTAGGCGTGTTATAGTAATTAATTTGTTACTACTTTTTGGATATTTTAAGTCATTAGCAAAATGGAATCTTTGTCAGGTCAGCTTACCTCAGCTCAGAAAGATGAGCTTATGGAACAAGTGAAGACGCAAATAGCTGTTGCAAATGCTCAAGAATTGTTGACGGTGTGAACATTAACAATAACCTATTTTCAAAGGTAAAATGTTTAATAATATTATTGAGTTGGTTAACCTGTTGTTCACTTTTTCAGAAAATGACTGAAAAATGTTTTAAAAAATGCATCTCAAAGCCCGGTACATCTTTAGATAGTTCAGAACAGGTAATGTAGTGAAATCCCTTAGTTTAATTGATGGAATAATTGACAATTTATGGTGCTAATTCAGATTCTTTTCCCATTTTTTTTAGAAATGTGTTGCCATGTGCATGGATCGATACATGGATGCTTGGAATCTAGTTTCTAGAGCGTATAGTAATAGAATTCAACGTGAAAGGCAAAGAATGTAACCATTGATTTTATTAAGTAGTGGATATTACAGCAGGAGAGAACTATATGCTTGAAATAGAATTGTGAAATAATTTGTATGTGTGATGTCATCGAAAATGTGTTCAATTCATCAGTAGGGTGTGTGTGTGTGTGATGCTATTACAGAAAATTGTTTCCATTTCTTTGGTAAATTGATTCTGTACATAGATTGTGAATGATGTTACAAGTATATTTACGATAGTATGAAAATAAAAATGTTGTTTTCATTTGTTTGTTTAAATTTTTAGAAAATATATTTATGAACACACCATATCTCTTTTGGAGAGTTGCGATTTTACCTTTGATTCAGTCACCTTTATTAGAGGTAAATTAGAAACAAATTGTGCACGAAGGCATTTTCACTAAATCTTCAGTAAGTCAGATTTGAGAGTATTACAATTGATTCTGGAAAGGAAGTAAGTAGGTTATTTAATACTGAGTTAGTGCATAGTGTGAAGATGCTAGATAAGAATATTGGGCTGTGAAATCGATGTGAGTGATTTGGACTCGCCTTTCTTTTTTTCTAATTTGGTATAGTAACAAATTTAATTGCATTTAATAAACATTTATCCTTGCTACAAAGGACCTTGTCGTGAATATTTAAAAAAATCTTTGTATGATTATTGTCATATTTATTTTTCAATGCAATGAAGGAAAGCAAAAATCTTTAAATACACCTCTGAATGAACTGAAATATTGAATATCAAATTATTGTTAATATTTTATCTTTGTAGTCTTATTATACAATCGGTTAACTGTTGCTGGTGATCTATGCATCTCAGATTGAATTCTTCCTGTTCATTATCAACAGCTAAGGCTGAAGAGGCAATTTTCAACAGTTATTGTGCAAGGTATTTTGCTGTCTGATGAGTGGTTCCATGATTCTGATATTAAATTGATCAAACAAATTTGAATGAATAGCGATTGTTCCTGTGATTTCATTAATACAATTGTCCCATAAAGCCTGTTGAAAATAAAGTAGATCAACAATTAGAGGACATTTGTGAGGTTGTGCAACCTAGTCTGACAACCTAGATGACATTAGGATAACACATGTCATTCCCTTCGTCGAAGGTTGCTACTTTCAGATAAAATTAATTCTGAAAAAATTGGGTATGATGATTTTTTGGTAGTTTCAATAAACTTTATATACTTATATGTTAAAGTAGGGTACACAGTACACCCTCAGCAACAGGGGGGGGGGGGTCCTTTAGCCCTCTAATTACGCTACGCACTCTGATAGAAATTTATGAAACTTACCGATAGACGATTTACATGGATCGTGCTTCATACGCTTTATCTTCGCTGCATTGTGATGCCAATTTACTTTCAACGGGAAGTTTTCTCACTTAGCTCACCCGAATGCAAGTCACGGCAAGGCTCGGGTCTTCGACCCTCGCGTTCGCTATAAACATCATTGAGTCTATCCACCGCATAATTACCAATTTGTCTGTATAAGAAAGCCTCCAGAATTCAAACTGCGCAGTTACCACCGGAGCGGTGCGAAGTGCCGATTTGAATGACATCCAAAGTTGTACCGTGTACTAGACTTCAGCCACTTTATTTCATCAAAACAGGAAAAGACAAACTTAGTAAAGAAAGTAGTGCCAATGTAGTTACAGAATCAAATGTTACTATGATAGTCTATGTGGGTTAAACAAAGCGCCATTTAAACCCAAGAATAAAAGAACACACAAATCAAACTGGTATAAGAGGTTGATTTACAATAAACATTATTCTGAATGATCAGAAAGACTCTCCTAATATTAACATCTATGACAAAATAATTAATTTTATATACCTTTTATAAAAATTTGCTCCTTTTACATGCTTGCTGGTAATTTTTCGTTATTTATTCATCTTATTTTTATTTATATCTTTCTTGTAATTGGCGAGTGTGCTAGTAGAAAGGTTAAGTCAAGTTTTTGTTCAAAATGAGTATGCCAGGACATTGCTTTACCATGATACTCTATCATAGAGGTAAGAGGAGAGTGTAAGGATAAGAGAGATTCCAATTTTGCCATTAATATTTAATGGCAAAATTGAAATGTCACTTATCGCTCTACACCCAATGACAGTACTATATAGAGCGATATCCTAGAATAATCATTTTGGTCAATAATTTGACTGACCCCCTTTTGCTCACCAGTCAATTCTTTATTAATTTTTTATGTATTACTGTTCGTTTGTAAATTTGACTTTTACAAATTTTCAGTAACCTCTTATTTAGCGATATTAGATTCTTTAATTCTCTCGTAAATTACTAAGTAGTGTATTCAACTAGTCACTAATTTTAGGTTCGTATTGTATCTAGTGAGTTGTGTGACACTGACTTGCCATGTAAGGGTGTGTCACCATATGTTCAAAAACATTATGGTACTCTTGCTATGGGTTTTTCATCCCGGAACAATGAACATACAGACTGTAGAAGGCCTTTTACACCTTATGTGGTAATACATATCGTTCAACATGGCAATTTCTGGTACTCATCTGGACAAAGTTGTAGGTGCTGTGTTGTCCTTAAATAGATGAAAGTAATCCTTTAATAACATATTTGTAGTTAATTATAGATATAGTACCTGAGAACTTTAAACATATTATTTGACTATTAAAAGTCATTTAATGTTTTTTTTAACAACATGTATTTTTGGGTATGTTACATACTGAAGAGGATCTCTCACTTGAAGATCGAAACATTTATTAATAAAAATTTAAAATGATGTCTGGAATCAGTGTTTATTTCATAATTGACACTTACTTTTGTATTATCAAAGAGACACTCTGTGCAGATCTTTTTTGAAAAATTAATTTTGATAGACTACAATACGGAATACTGCAAGTAAAATGTTTAAACAAGGAACAAAATGTAAGTTGTCCTTAAATATGGTAAAATACAGAATGTGCCAAATATGAATAATGAAATAGGCTTCAAATAAATTATGTGTCATCTGTTTTTGATGAACACATTTCATTAAGAAAATAATGTTTATCTTCATTATAGTAGTAGTTGAAAGATGAGGAAATTTTGTTTGAAATTTTGCAATTTTCAAAAATTAGAATATTTAACAAATGAGACCTGCATCATTCTCTTAAGCTTCCTATACGCTATCCGATGTCAAAATTTAATCAAAATTGTTAGTGCCTTTTTTTGAGAAAAAATGTTTAAACAAAATTAAAGATTTGCTGGTCCGGTCACCGAGATCGTTAACGCAGTAATGCCATAGCGATCTAGGGTCGAAGAATGGCTGGTTCAAGTCCCGCCTCAGGCATGATTGTATTTGTGTTCGTCCTTTCACCCTCTATCATCACCTTATCATGGTATTTTCACAGTTACCATATCGTTAAATGCGAAACCTTGTATCTACAGTGGCAGCATGATGGCGGTACCACACTAGTTAAGGGGTATATGGATGGCTTAAGAGTAGGTCGTCTGCATATCATCAATAATGTGATAAAACATAGGTAGTATTAACACCTGGAAGGACAATATTCGCGATAAAGCATAGGACATGGATCGGGAATGTAACTTTGTGTTTCTACCGCACAACGACCTGAAATACAAAGGTTTTAATACTCAATTGTGGCTGTTCAACTACACTAAAAAACAAATCCATACACATCCTCAATCCCTTCGTAAGTGCATCTGTGACATTTTTTCAATGTTTGTCTAATGAACATGATGTTAAATATGCATTCCTAATATAATGGAAATTAACTTCGACAGAATTGGTGAAATTCTTGCCGCGAAAGAATCGGTGAAACTCAAGATTAATCAATAATCAAAGTAAATGGAAACCCTACAATGTATTAAATTATGTTATCCGTTTGTTAAATATAAGTCTACATTGACTTTTTGATTGAAAAGGGTTTTTTATTTTGTTTTTTAAATATTAGGGTATTTTTAATGTTTTAAACTTACATACATTGTAATATGAGGGAATTGAGTAACGTATGTTTTCTGATATCTAGTACATATTTCTCTAATAAACCGTTCATATTCCTTAATTGCTTTTGCCATAGATTTCTAGGCATCTCTTTTTGCGATAATTATATCTATATGCCCGAGGTAGCGGCAAGGCATATCTGGATGCTCGAATCATTCTGGGTAAAGCCAGTTCTTTACTCACGGACTCAGCTCTCGCAGTTACCAGTCAAGATGAGAGATTGCGGAAAGATTAGAGATAAAGGATAGGGTTTACGTGAAGTGGTGTGAAAGCCTAAACCACGACCCACGGTACCAAAGACATTCGGGTGATACTAGCCTTAGTGTATTTTAAAGGCACGCCTGCCCTAAATCCTAGCGCCACCAGGCTGGCTGAATTGGGACAGCAGTTCGCAGCAAGCCATTAGCGTCTCGTGCTTCTTGTAGCAAGTTTAGCAAAAACATCGCTATTTAAATATTCTATTTTTACGGTTATCTTATCTCAAAATACTTTTGGGGTCTCAAGGTACTCGGTACTTAAGCGACTCTTGTCGGGGGTTAGTGTCATGTAGTGTTTCACCGAATCTTGTCGGAGATATTTTCGGATCAATGGTGAAGGGGTTACACGAGAATAGGGCATCAGATCATCGCTCGGCCATAAGGGTGAGAAAGTAAGGATCACACATTGTCCGTGGCCCGTTGATTAGGGTGCTGCCCCGGCATTCACCTGGATGTGATCGGTGTAAACCACGGAACGTCCGACCAGAGCAACCAGCCTCACGAATTCGCAAGCAGCCAGTAGCAGATTTAGAACCAGCCGTCCTCGTAAATTCTGCCATTAACAGGACTCGAACCTTGGACCTCTCGGTCAACGAATCTTCAATTAAGGACTCGCATCTCCAAATGCTATTGCAGCCGTTGCTATTTAAATATTTACTTATGTGTATTACGCATATGTTTCATTTGTATAATATGTGTTTCTAAGCTGGGATTTGTTGCTTATATGCCTATTTTATTCCTTTAACTCCACACGTATTATTTTACGTTACTCATCTATTTTGAGGCATTGGAAGTATAATATGCGAATTTTAGTCGTAGAATATAAATACATTTTCACAAATAAATGCCTATTTACTTTAAATGCCTCTGTTTTTCCGCATTAAATTATGTTCGTGTATAAATGTTGAAGTGTGTTGGCCATCATTTAATAAAAACTGAATTTTATAAACCCTAATTTGTTGCCGGACTTGCATTGTGTGTTTGCTTATTACCACCAGAGATTAGGTATTTCGTATTTCGAAAGCCGTGTAAAGTCAGCGAAGGGTAGTAGTGTTGTTTGAATGCGTTTAGCTTGGTCAGGAGCGTCGTTCAGCGAATTGAGAATTCTGAGAAGCGTGTGTGACCGTGGGCGTATGTAATCCCGCTTTTATGTTTTAATAAAAATGAAGGAGTTTTGCCCACTTTAGGAACATTCTTTTAGACACCACAAAGAAGACATCAGATATTTTGGTTTATAAAATTTGGAGCAATATTCAGTGATTCATTCATAATCATGAATGTCATATAGTGTTATTTTACTCATAATTAACGACATTCCTGTTAATTATAATCACATAATCACGAATTATCTCATAATTTTCTTGGATTAAATGCAAAGCAAACACGAAAGAATAACTCGCACGCTTAGTGCGGTCCTGGTAGTTTATTGCTCCCTGAGCCAACATGTTTCAGCGATAGCGACGTCCACAAATTGATTAGATGCGAGTGGAGGACAGAGTGGGGTAGGCTTATTGTACATCCACGATATAAGTCAACTTTCCAAAAACCTGAGGAGGGAATCAGGGCCGTCAGACCGAAGAGCACGCGAACGACCTTCAGATCGCTTTCGCTCCTCCGAGGTGCTCCGCAGGTAAGATCCCACAGGTTAGGGGGAGCAAACTTGCTAAGAAACCTGAGAATTGAGTGAGCAAACATGCTGTGTGTCGTAAACGTCTTAG